AAACCCTAGACCCTAAACTCTATAATGTTCTTGCAGCAAGGTGCGCCTGCTCGACCCGGAAGGCTGCAATCTGGGCTGCGGGCTTAGATAAATTCAACATATCATAGTATATTATGTAGTATATGGTAGCATATTATAGTATATTATAGGATATTACAGTATATCATAGTATATACTAGTATATTATAATATATTATAGTATGTTATAGTATCTTATGGTATACAGCCATGCATGGAGGATTCCTACTTGCAGAAACTCAGGCAACCACTTGCATACTTGCCGCGTCAAGATCATCGACACGAATACTTTTCCCTCGAGCAAGTATGAGGAGCAACTGCGGCTGCTCAACAGCAGATTTCATGGACCCGTTTACTGGATTTAGGGTTTAGGGTTTAGAGTAAAAACCATTAATTCTTGTGTACGATAATCCCCTATGTAATCGTTTATGACCCAGAAGAATAAAAGTGTGTAGGGCCTTTAAACCCTAAACCCTTTTTTCTGCAAGCCCATCTCTGGTGCTTTTCTTACCCCACCAAACTCATGAAGAGCGGCAGTCAGGCTGGGCGATGAGGGGCTTGACCACGTCAGTGTCTTGAGATGCATCGAAAGCAGTTGCGGATTGCCAGATTGTTTCCGTCTGCGTGCAGTATTGTGACTCCCCCAGCCCCCATATGGTAGTTTCCCAACATGAGGGGACCCTGGGACCCCCAAAAAGGTACCCCCCCAATTTTGGGAAACCCACATATATTAAATGTCTCCATCGTCTGAGGCTCATCGGGCCTATTCTGGGAGTACTGGAAGCTCTGCTTCTTCCAGGTCCCCGGCATCTCCATCCGGACACTCCTTACACTGGTCTTCGATCAGCTGAAGATGCTGGGATAGGGTTTGGGGTTCAGGGTGTAGGGCTTGGTGTTTAGGGTCTAGGGTTTAGGTGGGACGCTCTGTAAATGCATCTGGCCAGCCAAATGGAGAGGACGGGCATACAGGCAGTTGCGCTGCATCTCAGGAATGTGTACCGCTATTTTGTGCTTTGCCTCAACATTTACCTGGTGGACGTTTTGTTCAACATTTCGGACAAAGAAGCTAGGTGGCATTTGGGACTACTTCCTCTGTTGCTGTTCATAAATCATTTCGGGGGCCTTTAGAGTGCCTGAACCCTACCACCCAGGAAACATCCCATCGACTTTTGCTTTCCTCTCGGCTGGACACCGCCTACCTGGTCGGCACCCTCTACGTGGCTCCGTTGTTGGTGCTGCATGCCTGGGATCTCATCAAGGCAACCGAAGTTGTTAATGAGAATCATTTTACATTGTCAGCAGGGAATAAGGGAATCAAATCCCTATGTAGGCCCCAGATGATATAAGATTCCCCTAAGCTCCAGTAAGAAAAGCCCATTTTGGATGGTACATCAACCCTAAACCTTAAACCCTAAACCCTAAACAGTGCAGAGGCCAAGATGGACTTGCGCGGACACTTGAGGTTGTACCTGCAGTCCAGTCTGTTTCGCCGATATTTGAACTACAGCTCCTTGGCCCTTACAATTGGGGGGGCGGTTTAGGGCTTTTCCCAAAATCAGGGGGTACTTTGTTGGGAGTCCCCATAATGAGGCGTATAGTAGCTTGGGGTCTTAATATTTTGGGAACCTACGGACTGTTAATAGTAATACTAGTAGTAAGAATCATGGTCATAACGTTTGTAGAAATGGCAGGTATAATAGCCATAACAACAGTCATTATAAGAGTATTAGTGATAGTCATACCGATAGTAATAGTAACTTCACATGTCACATGCCCTCTTTGCACGATGGCAAGCTGAAGAAGGCTGCAATGCTAAGCGTATTCTCTTACAGCCATATAGACCCCAAAATACTATAATCCTTCTTAGATGGTACCCGTAATTTTGGGAAACCCCCTGAACCCTAAATCCTAAACCCTAAATCCTAAACCTTAAACCCTAAACCCTAAACCCTAAACCCTACATCCTAAACCCTAAACCCTATCCCTGCACTCATCCTCTGAGGTGAAGAGTCCCGGATGTCAGTGCCTCCAGCAGACATGCAGCATGCTCTGAGCATGGGCTCCAAGAGCGCTGCCGAAGGTGACTAGCTGGGATTTAGGGTTTAGGGTTTTGGGTTTTGGATTAGGGTTTAGGGATTGGGGTTTAAGAATTAGAGGTAGGGTTTAGGGGTTAGGGTTTAATAATTAGGGGTTAGGGTTTAATAATTAGGGGTTAGGGTTTAGGGTTTTGGGATTAGGGTTTAGAGTTTAGGGATTAGAGTTCGGTTGAGGGTTTCAGGTGATTGGGTGGGATTATATCGGGTTATACAGGGACTGCAGAACAGGAGGTTGTTTTGGGATTTATTTGGCATTCCATAGGGATAATTCCGGGTTTAGCAGGTGGGACTTTACTACAACGTTAGTTTTCCCTTTGATTCTCTATTCTCGGGGTAAAACTAAACCGTATTTAATCCCATATAGCACTGTATGCGCTCTATATGAATTAGGTGGGATGCTAATTAAGTTTTAGCAGAGTACAACTTTTGGAGTTTCTGTATGTCATCAGAAGGGACCCTAAACCTTAAACCCTCCTAAACCCGGTGGATGAAAGAGCAGTCAAGGTTACACCAAATTGATGGATCTTTTCCAAAAGTTTGGGCAGTGGCTCATCGGCACTGGCGCGAGTTGTACTAACGCCCTCCCATTTGTTTGATGGAGTTGTGGGAGTTTCTGAAGGTATTCCCTATGCAGTTTAGAAAAAAGAGTCAATGCATGGTCCTTTTAAGGTTGCTATTTATCCATGTTGTTGAGAGTGCCCTAAACCCTAAACCCGAAATCCCCTAAACTGTAAACCCTAAACCCCAGAGAGCATGAGAGGCTGGCAGTTTTCACCTACTTCACCCTTCGGGAGAATCCAGGAGCCCTCTACCTGATATTGGCAATGCCATCCATCATGGCGGCATTCTTGGCGAGCCATGTCTGCATGGGGCCAAAGAGTACAAAAGGTCATGGGAGAGTCTTTGGTTATTACTATTATCATTCCTGTTGCTATTATTATTCCTATTAGTGTTGTATTACATTATACTATTGAGTCCAGAGCATGCCTTGCCCAGGTGCAAAACCTGCATGCCTCTTAACAGTGATGATCGAAAGGACGTCGAGGCATCTGTACTTTCCCTGGCTGCTGAAGTTTGTCACCGGTATCGATTGATTGCTGATTACTTTCAGCGGCCACAGATGAACGAGATCTTTGCCCGTCAGACGAATGACCTGCGCCGCGAATACATTCCAGAGAATGTGGAAGCAGTCAACAACGAGTACTTCCCAAAATGGTTGGGGCCTCTCTTCATAGGCGTGTACATAGCTATGGATGCACAGAACGTCTTCGACGGCGTAACCTCGCTAGGGACGTTCTTGGCAACGATAGGGGTCATGAAGGACATCAGTTCAGAATTCGCGGACGCATACAACATGATCCTCGAGCTGGCAGACACCTTTGTGTCTGTTCAGTACCTTACAAGCTACTGGGTTGCTGTTAAGGAACTTATATTAAGTTAGTATAGTAAGGAGACCCTGTTGCTTACTATATACCCATATTTTGGCAACTTGAACTAAGTTCCTTAACAGCAACCCAGGCTATTTCAACAAGCAGACAGATCTGCTGCTTTGGAAGGAGGTGAACCGAAAGCGCAGGGACTTGACGCTGCTTGACTCTACATAGGGTTTAGTAGGGTTTAGGGTATAGGGTTTACGGTTGTAGGCGTTGCATAGACTCTATAACCCTATATGAGCCTACATGTCCCTGTTTAACCCCACATAACCCTATATGTTCCTATATAACACTACATATATGTCCCTATATAACTGTATATAACCCTTGGGAGCAAGAGTCGTGCATAGAGTAAACCACGAGCTGCCTGCCAAGGAGACAGGCAAGGGACAAGGCCTTCGCTGGATCTCACTCCACTCCAGGCAACTTACTGGTGGTCAGTAGGGAAGAAGGGAATAAAATCAGCTAGAGTCTAAACTGCTTAAAGGGGGTTATACAGCAGGTTAAATAGGGGACGAATACAGGGGTTATTATGGGCGATGCTAGGAGCTCAGACTATGGCATATATAACCGTAGAAAATCGTTTCGCTTTTTTCCCTATCACCCCCTAACCCCTAAACCCTAACCTCCAGTAAGGCAATGAGCAGGAAAAGACAGAGGTGTTGTACAAGACAGACCTCATTCCGATCCAGAAGCTTGGCTTGCAGAGCTTTTTCAGGTTTAGGGGACCCTAAACCCTAAACCCTCTAAACCCTCTAAACCCTAAACCCTAAGCCCTAAACCCTAGGGGTGAAGGGTCAGAGCTTGGTTTCAAGTCTTGCATGCAGCAAGAAGTCCCAATGACCGTTATGGCTTAGGTGGAGCCCCCACCCTGTAATAGTGACTACAAGGAATACGAGTGATTATATTAGGGTGCTAGTATATTCCCATTATACCACTATTACAGGGTGGGGGGTCCACCTAGATTATGGTTACTACTATCCTTAAAATTGCTACTATTGCTCTTATCCTTCGTATCACCATTGCTATTACTGTTACTATTGTAACTCTGACTTTACTGGTCCTGCTATTGGACCTGGTACTACTTATACTTCTTACCAATTAACATCAGCGTCGAAAATCAGTTTGGGCAATCTTAGACCCTATAGTTCTAAACCCTAAACCCCCAAATCCTAAAACCCTAAACCCCAACTCTCAAAAACCTAAACCCTAAATCCCTTGAATGAAACTCAGGCTCGCCGGCATGTGCTTCGGATATCTTCGGCATGAGCCCGTCTTTTCGGACGTCAACGTTTCAGTGGACCAGGGCCTACTGGTAGCTGTGATGGGACCGCATGGATCTGGGAAGACGAAGCCAGACATTCTCACTGGTATTTTTGTTGATTTGAGAGTCCAGGGAGTTATCGTTCCCCTTAAGTAGATGGAATATGGCTTTGGGTACATTATAATCAGATCCCCATATACCCCATATTCTATTTACTGAAGGGGACTATAGAGGATGCATGGAGTCCATAAGGTGCGCCCCCCGTATCCCCTCCGCCAACATATACGCCTTGTTAGACAAGGGAAGTCCGGACCGTTGATACACAGAAACAGTTCTTTCTGAGCCTTTCCCAAAATAGGGTCCAGGGTTAGGGTTTAGGGTACCCCTATGTAAGCGAAATTTCATCCCTATATATCCCCGATATAGCCCCTATATCTCCAAGGTATTATAATCTGTATACAGCGGACTCCGAACAGAGACGCCTCCTTTTTGGAAGTTTTCAAGCCACGGGCCTCATATGTCCCTTCATAACCCCCACATGCCCCCCTTTACTGGGTTGCTATTAAAGAACTTAGATTAAGTTACCATAATGGGAATATATAGTAATTAATAAGGCTTCCCCAGTATAGTAACTTGAATTAAGTTCCTTAACCGCAATCCAGTCTGAGGACATTGCTGAAGTTGCTTGGGCACATGGTCTTTCCGCAGGAAGGACACATATTCATCCCATCGCACCTGAGGATTCTTGGCGGTCTACTGTGAATACTTTGTTTGGGGGTTATATGTACTATAGTCTA